CATCATCTCCCTGGCAGCATGGGCATCTTCCACAGCTCAGAAAGCATTCAGTGCGTAGATGAATCCCCCCCAGCCTTTCATGGAAAATTAACCCATCAGGAAAAAACATATTGACCAGCCAGGACATTCTAATCTCGGGGTGTGGGGTGTATGTGTGATAGACATTTGATGGCGGCTGATTTGAAAAGGATTTGCACTTCTCGGACATTATCAGCAAGTGGACGACACCATTCCTGTTAAGAATAAGTGTCCGCTCACTGCAAGGCCACCATGTCAAAGCCGGAGAGAGGCTGAAAGAACCCGGCAGATTGTGGGCACGGTGCAACTTACCGGTATACTGCAGGAGTCACCATCACGCTCAGCCTGAATGTCCACATTCCCCAGGTGCAGGATAGAAGCAATTATCTTAAAAATGCTCATCTGATGGGACTCCCTCACTCCTGGGGGGGGGGGAATGACAAAAAATATGATGATGAAGATGAATGAATGACACTCAATATCCCCAGCAAGGCACAAAGGGCATCTCACTCTTCTGAAGGACTCCTTTGAAAAAATAAGGTTTGATCTTCCTTTCTGGGCCAGTGACTCCCCAAATGATCCAGGCTCCTCACCCAATGATTGCCTCTCTCAGTAACAGCTCCGAGGGCAAAGGGCCCCCCTCCCCTAACTAAAAGAGAAACAGCCTCCCGGAGATTGTCCCAATCAAACCAGAGGGCCCACACTACCCTCTGAACACCGCTCGGAGCAGGGGCGAGGCGACAATCACACAGACTCCTCTAGGACTGCGTCAGTCCAGCTTTCTGGATCTTTTTATGCGTCTAACAAAAATGGTGATTTATCTGCCACTGTTTCCCCCAACATAATATCCTGCAAACATCTGTGACAGGCATCCACAGTGCCAACGGGACAGAGGAGGGGGCACGTCTCCGGGGAGAGCTGGATGGCCAGCAGGCTGGTCAGTCCCTTTCCATGTTCCGTGCGCCTTCCCCGTTACAGAAGCCTCACCCAGGGCTATGTGGTACGGGGACCGTTGTCACAGGAACCGCCTCTGGTTAAATTTGCCTACATGCAGGACCAAAGACACAGCGAATCCCTACACGTTCATTTTAGCTTTAAGGCATTGTGGTTTCTTTCAAAGTTACAGATATTTTAGACTTATAAAAGAGAGGCTGTGGGATGATATGAATGGAAACAGCCAGGATGAGAAATGAGGTTGTTCCTCTCCGTTCCTCCCCAGGTTGCGATGATGCAGATGTTCCACTGTGTTTTATTGATTATGCAAAGGTATCCACCCCATGGATCATAAGCGATTATAGGTAACACTGCGACGAATGTAAACTCCAGGACACCTAATCGTGGGCAC